GGTCTCGTGTAATTATGACTGTGTCTTACTCTCTTGGAAGTCGGCTCCCTTGGGCCTCAGCCTTTTATGTAAGATCAGATGATCGTCTCCCGAAAATAATACAAGAAGAGAGAAATGCCAGCAACACAGCAATCCGCAGAGAAAAAGAGAGGCACCCACCCCTTTACTTTGAGTATAAGGCCTAAGAGAATATACAGGCTACCCTGTTAACATATCCTACCATATGGCAAGTGTCTTCGCCCATGAGCGGTAGGTCTCGGGTTCGAGCCTTGGGAGCAGCCTCTCCATAAATGGGGGTAAGTCTCCAGACCCTGCGTAAAGCGGGAGCCTTGTGCACTGGGTACGACCTTTTTTTTAGTATCAACACTCTTATAACGTCTCGATTTGAAAAGTTTTCAACATATATTTCAACTGTTAATTATCATGCCTCTTATGATTCTAATATATGTTTATGTAAACAACAGACTTATGTTGTCAAACAAAGTAACATTTTTCAAACATTAGATTAGAACTTGCATAAGAAAAAATTAGAAGGATTTATAGTATTATATGAGTGACATTGAAACAGTGAATTGATATAACTTATCAAAATTAACGGTACTACTTTCTTTTTCTTTGTCCTTCCTTTTATGGTCGGAATTGTAAAGAAGTTGTGATAAATGGGCACACAACCTTTCTTTATATATACTAGCCCCACCACCTCCTGATCTCACACACAAACAGTTCAATGTTTTGTTCACATTGCTGCACTTCATCCCCAACTCTCTCCAATTCCAACACAAAACACAGAGCTTATTGCTACTAAGAAACGTCCAATCATTCATTCATGGCGAAACGTTTCAAGCTCCGATTCTCCCGAGTCATCCCCTCCTTCCATTCCTGCCGTTCAAAAGACCCCTCCACTCTCCCCTCAAATCCTGTCCCTTCCTTAGCCACCGCCCCAACACCACCTCTACCCTCCAAAACCCACCACCACTCTTCATCCATCAAACGCCACGTTTTACTCTGCGGTTGCCGACCAAGACCAACACTCTCCGACGACGATCGCAGGGAATCAACCCCCGATCTTCATAAGTTTGAGTGGGACCGAGAGGACAAGTGGCACGTGGTCGGAAAAGTCTACGACATCAACCCCCGACGCAAAATCTACACTTCCTCCGCCTCGCCCGACTCCAACGCAAACGACAGCGTTTCTCCTCCTCCCTCCTCCGCCATAGAGAAGGAACAAAAGAAGAAAACGCGACGAGTCAACAGAAAGAAGAAAAGAACGACGAGTCGCATCCGGATCAGCACGTCCTCGTTCGAAGCCGGACTTTCCAGCAGCGAAGGCGGCGGCGGCGGCTTCGACGACGGCGAAGAAACCAAAACCCTAGTCTCCACCGGATCATCCTCCAGAAGCTTGTCCACCGACTCCTCGCCGCTGACAGGGCGAAGAAAGAAGAAGCGGAGCAGCAGCGCCGCCAGGCGCAGTGTTTCAAGGAAGTCGGCGGCGGGGGAGAGCGAAGCCGTGCCGGCGAGGCTGTCGATGTTTCAGAGACTGATACCGTGCAGGGTGGAGGGAAAAGTGAGGGAGAGCTTCGCGGTGGTGAAGAAGTCGGAGGATCCGTACGAGGATTTTAAGAGGTCGATGATGGAGATGGTTTTGGAAAAGCAGATGTTTGAGGAGAGGGAACTGGAGCAACTGCTGCATTGCTTCTTGTCGTTGAATTCGAGAGAGCATCATAGGGTTATTGTTGAAGCTTTCACTGAGATTTGGGAGGGTTTGTTCTGTTGTAGTGCAAGATCCTAAAGAGCTAGGGTTTCTAGGGCTCATTGAAATATGATTAACTAGTGTTTTAACTTTTAATCAATGAAATGGACAATAAAGTTAATATCTCTTTACTTTCTTCACAATGTATTTGTGTATTATTGTCATGCAATTTTCCTCTACGTAAAAGTTGATGATCACTTGTCGTAGTACTTGGTAGTTGGTTAGCATGATAAAGCACGGAAACACATGTTAATTAGTTAGAAGTTAAATACAAAATTAGGCTGCCTTATTGTGTCGCTTAACCAAATTTCATCTCTTTTTAATGTAAAATATTGATGTACTAAAAAAACCAAAACAAAAGAAGGAAAAAAATTGCTCGACAGTCATAGTTTTGTCCTTCGCAGGGATATATGTGAACTAGCTTAACTTATATTCCGTTTATAATCTATAAGCTAGTTTGACATACATGTTAACCCCAAATAGTTATGTTTTTTTCTTTCATTAATCTTCATCTCGATGTTCAAATTTGATCCCATGCTTGACTACATACCTTAGATGCATTTACAGTAAATGGGAGAAGACTGGGATTGTGAGATTTGGAGCTTCACTAATTGTCGCGCTTAATTGGCAATTTTTGGCTTTGCGACTGACTACTCAAAAAGAAGAATCAGGTTCAATTATTGTGTAACACCTCGAAGAGTTACTTAATATAATCTTGTTAAACCCTTTGACATAATGAGTATTTTCATTGAAAGAGTTGATGTTTCATCAAAAAATCAATCGACAATATGGGGACTAGCTTAATTACTTTTAAGCACATGCAAGGTCCATTCTTTCTCAGATTTGAGATTCATACTATGTAAGATTTATTTTGTCCCCAAGTAAAATTCATACTCTCAAGACAGATGGTCATTATAAAGCAAATAGTAGGTAATGAAAGCCGTGTTGAACGGAGGCATTGGAAACCCCATGGACCTATGGAGTATATGGAGGATGCAAAGTTGCAACAGCTAATGAACGAGTTTGCACTTTTGGTCGACAAGATATGATATTGAAGCCCTCCTCGTTTGACAGGAACAGGAGATAGACCGGTAAACGCAGGCGGATTAGTAATCAATAAAAATATTGACGACGAGCAATTAACCATTTGGACCAACCAATGATTAAAAGCCAGCCTTCTCTTCTGGACTGTAATGATTATGTTGTAACTTGCAACTTGGAATATGAATGAATAAAGCTAAACGCTCTTCTCCGTGATGCACGCTGGTGCATATGGAGATTATCCCGCTCGGGTCCATGGAGATGAAAGTGAATAACATTATATAAGGCTTATTAATTGATTTGTTCCAACTATTTAGTTTCATCTTATCTTTTAAAATTGATTTTGTCTCATTTTATTTTTTTGAAATTGTAAATTTCGTCTCATTTGATCTTAGTTCGTCATGTTTTTATCAATTCCGTAAACAAGATGTGAAATCAAAGATCAATATTGACATTTTATTTTTTGACATGTACAAATCTTTGCCTCTAACATGCCTGATAAAACAATCTCAATTCTATTTTTTATAATTCTAATTCAAACCTTTATCCGTTTCTCTTGTGAATTGGTGCAAAGCTGTAGATCTAGCCGTATGATTCAATGAGTGGTTTGAATTATATTTTCAAACACAATCTATTATTTGGTTTTGAAACATAACCCATTATTTGCTTTTAGCCAATGGTTGCAGCTACATCTCGGCACCGATCCGCAAGAATGATGGATGTGAATTTAAATTAGAGTTGTGAGATTGTTTTAGCAAGCATGTACGAGGCAAAAAGTTGTGTACAAAATGAAATGTTCATACTACTCTTTAATTTAATGCCATTTTGACGAAATAGACGAAAAGTGAACTGAGATTAAATGAATGAAAATGACAATTTGATGGGCAAATCAATTAACAAGCCTTTATAAAATTGTAAAAATTAAAAATGATCTTCTTAATCAAGGAGACAATTTTTTTGTAAGAAGCCGTGGAGGAGTTGTCATTAATCCTTTTTGAAATGCTCATTACTAAGGTTCTTTTGGTATATATATAAAACATGAAAAGTATGGTTCTATCGATGCATGGCTTAATTGCAAACAATTTTTTCATACATCAACGTCTGCTAATCATTACTAATCCGAGTGTAGATGATTGTTGCTCTCATAACTTGTACCCTTAATAAAGATTTTAATTGTTTGTTAATCAATTGGATATACCTTGTTTGATTGTGCCATTACATGTAGCTAATAGGACATTCTCCATGAGAGACATTTCCAAAAACATTTTCCACCCACTAATATTCTAGAACATTTGTCGCGCTTAATGGGATTATAGAATTTTGTTAGTATGAGTAGTCCACAAGCATGTATGCATGATCTAACTATTACAAACAATGTAAATTCTACATGTATCAATCATTCAAAACTGCTCACATGCACATGGGCAACTAACCGTAACCTACCTCATGGACCAACGTGCAGTGTGCTTGTTCATTCCACTACCTCGTTCTTTTTTGGGTCTACCAGTTGCTTCTATTCCTTTCACCTTTTCTTTTAACGCACAAACGGAAAGAAAGAAAACTCCCCATCGATATGTAATGTACAGACTTGACGTAGCGTAATGTACCACAAACACAATGTAATCGAATCCCACCATCCATCCACGACGATATGACCAAGTGATGACTGACTCCCTCTCTCTCACCAGTCGTGATCAGTCAGGTGGTGAGAGCCTTCTCTTTAATTGTGACCCAGCACTGCAGTAAAAAGTAAGACTTCACTAATACTGTTAATGGTAAGTTTGCATGGGACAGGCAAGTGATAAGACTGTCTTTAATTTAATCTGTCTCGGCCAAAGAGAATGAATCTTTTCTGGAAATGGGTAGGTTTCAGTGGGGGGAAGGCACACACGGCATCAGAGAATCTTTACCAACCTCAGAAATTAAATTTTAATTTTATCTGGCTCAAAGTTGAAAGAGTTAATTACAAGTTTATCCATGAACTTTACTTTGGTCTTAAACTTTTTTTTCTTCTAAATTGGTGCAGAAAGTTTTAAAAATGTGTTAAATGATGAAAATAGTGACACCAGTTATAAAAGTTTGACATAATTATTAGTGGTTCTTTTATTTTTCACCCCCACCCCACCCCAGCAGGTTTTGAACCTTAGACCCAAGTTACCGTTTGGTACGTGAGACGCGACATAACGCAATAGAATGAAACATTCCGTCCCACGTTTAGTGCGTCAAAAACAGTAGAACAAACCCTCTTAAAACGACTGGTTCCACATCCGTAGAACACAAAAATGTCTCTTACCTTTTTCAATATTTACACCATTTAAAACAAACCCTAATCCATTATTTGCCGCTGCCTTTCTTTTCGCGTAGCCTTCCTCCTCATCCTCATCCTCTCCTGTAGCCGCCGACTGCACCCAGCCAGCAAGCAGCAGTCGCGCTGCAGATTGACCTAGGTATGCGATTGATAGTTTGTTGAATCTCAATTTTTGACTTTAATCGATTGATAGCTTGGAATTCACCGTCTCCCACCACCACAACCTTCTCTTTCTCTTCCTCGCGCGCCCTCACCCTCCGCTGTCTCCTCTCTCCTTCTCCTCCCACCACTTCCACCCGTCCCCGCCGCCTCTCGTTCGCTGCATCGCGTCCTCAACAACTCATCTCCCTCACCGCCATACGACTTTTCACCGCCCCCCCCCCCCCCGAGGCCGCTTCATCCTTATCGCGAAACCCTGGCGCCGCCTCCAAGACTAGAACTTACGCTAATGAAATTCTCTTGTTCTTGTTTGGATTGTGAGAAAATGTAGGAAAATCTGGTTTGGGCTGGTGGGAAAATTGAATTTTGATGGATAAATGTTTTTGCTTTTTTGAATAAATAGTGATTAATGTACAGGGAGCAGGATGATTACGAGTTGGTGAATTGCATTGCTTTTACCTTCTTATGTGAAAAAGATTGACATTTTGTTGTTCTTATCAGTTGGGTAATTCTATTTGTTTCATTCTTGTTATCATGTATGCCAGACTAATATTTCATGTAATCGCGGATTCTGTACTTGTATACGGCCGGTGTTTTCATAGTTGTTGTAATTGTCTTTTAGTGTTTGATGACAGTTTGCTGAGATGATTGTTGTAATTGTTTTTTATTGTTTGAAGACTACTAAGATGTAGACATGTATGGAAGCCTACTTCCGGAAAATAGAGACTCATAATTTTTACACTTATACTTTACATATTGTTTGAATGTTGCCTCTTCACATCATTGATCCGATATTATGGTATTGTTATAAAAGATAGAATTCATGGCATAACATATCATCAGCCATGTGCTAGTGTAAAAAATATATCATAGATAAGCATATATGTGTCTTCAGCCATGTGCTAATGTAAAAAAAAGTCTCATCCTGTCCCACACATAAACATTGTACCAAACAACAGACGGAACATGGGTAAGTTAGTCATTTAATCTTTTTATTCCGTTCCGTCCATTGCATACCAAACACAAAACGAAACAACCGTCCCTTTCTGTCCTACACATACCAAACATAACACGGAACCTCCATTCCATCATGTTCCATCCCATTTGCGTACCAAACGATATCTAAATCCAGAGCTGGCCCTAAGAATTTGGGGGCCCTGGGCGAGCCTTCGAAGTGGGGCCCTAAAATTCTCTGATCTCCGGTTCTTGGTAGATTGATTTGTATAAAAAAGAATTCGCTAAATACATAAAAAGTTCTATTTTCACATCAAATTTCATTAAAATTAATATCAAAAGAAGATAAATATACAAACATTATTTAAACATTACACGATTCACATTTTTAGACACAAATGTACTAAATATTTGCAGTCAAAAGTTTAAGATTGAGAGTGAAGAACAATAAAACTTTATGATCAAGAGAGTAAATAACAATAAAACTTGATTGAGGAGTATAATTAATTCAACGCCAATTGTTTCTCTTGTATTTTTTTTCTTCTAAAATCAAAATCACACTAACGAATTGAATATTAAAATAATCCATTGAATAAAAAGTTATTGAAAAGAAAAATATAAAATTCAAAGTTTTGATTACCTTAAAGTACAATATATAAGACCATATGATAGTTGATTTAAACATTCGATAGAAATTGAGAGAATGGGAAGTTGAAAGAACAAAGATTGTAAAGAGACTTGAGTTTTATAACTTTATATGCATTTGGGCAGATGGATTGGCAGTAAATTTGAAAAACAAGAAAAATCTAGTGAATGAAAGGCAATTTTGTGTTTCGAACTCAACACCCCAAAGAAATATAAAGCCAACATTTTCCACTGCACTAACAAATGAATTATGATATTTTTTATTTTTTTTGTATTTATATGTTAATTACAGAATATAAAATTTTTTTGGGACCCTTCCGAAGTAGGGGCCTGAGGCGGGCACCTACTTGGGCTACCCTCAGGGCCGACCCTGCCTAAATCTACCCCTACCCCTTACCCACATCCTCACCACTAGGCTATTCCTAGTGACTTTCATAATTATTAGTGGTTACTTGTTTCTTGGTTCACAAACCACAATGCGAAGTTTGTTAACAAATAATTCTTTCGCACTAACACCAAACCGTCACAACTTCTGCATACAACAAAGAGAGAGGATCAGACATAGAGAATGTTGTTAACAGGAGTTTTTCTCATACGACTAAATGATGGAAGTGTGGGTCATGGTTGGTGAGCCTTGGCGATTATAAAAGATTAATTAAATACAAAAAATTATAAATAAAAAATTATATGAAATAATTAAACAAAAAATTATAAGTATCTAACCATATTCTTCCACCTTACACCACATTTTAATATTTTTAACCAATCTTTTATTTTTATCTGAAATAAAATTATTTTTTATTAGTTTATAAAAAATAATATTTTAATACAAATTGTTTGGACTATTTAGTTTAGGGATGAATATGGACTTGTATAGTTACTGTTTATTAATGGTAATACTATTTACTTGAGGAGATTGAATTACCTATTGCCACGAAACTTTTTAGGGATTGAAGTGCTATAATGGTGGAAGTGTGATTTGGGTTGGATTTGGAACTTAGCCTTGTCAAAAAAGCATGGGTGTAAATGCTATAAGAGCATTTTTAGTGCAGAAAGTAAGGCAGAGCTTCCTTTTAGCGCATGAGAGCTGCTGATGGGGCTCAGTACCTACATCTATGTATGATGTATCAATCCCCAATCTTGTTTTCGGTTAGGCTTGGCTTGCAACAGCAACAACATGCAGAATCCCTATGTTTTCATCAAGAGTACCATTAGACGGATTTGCATCCTCGCCGGATCCCTTCATCAATGCACACGAATCATTGATGAAAAATCGTACGGTCCAAATTAAATACTTTTTATATTTTTAAAAGTAAAATAGTTTCATTTTACGTGAAAAATATAAAAAACAAAAAATTACGACCGCACAATTTTTTAGTCCGTATGCGTAGATATCTAAGATCCTAGGAGATCCGGCGAGGATCCAATTCCCCATTAGACAGACTCATCAGTCAGTCACAGTTGTGGAAGCAGCTCAGGACTCATAACCCTAACCCTATCCTTATGTCCAATCCACCCTTGGATTCTTATCCTTGGACTATTATTGCCACCTGCATTGGGATATGGGCTACTAAATCTCTAGGGCTTCTAGCTAGGCTACTCTTGTTTAGTCCTTTCTAGAGTTCTTGTCCAAGAATTGTGAACCTAACTAGGGGTAGAGCCTACTATCACCGATGCCCGGGTATTAGGACAAACCTAATTTTTAGGAGATTTTCTTGTGCAGGGGATTTCGTGTTATGATCTAACCCGTGCATCCAAGACACACATGAGTAATACCCTTGCATTCAGGTCCATCAAAAGAGGTTTGTTTAAGACCCGAATGCATGAGACCACCTTTGTGTATGTTTGAACTAACATGTTACATGGCACGAAAGACCATTGCCAAAGAATCTCTTGATTTTAAGTTCATCATTTTCATATAAATTTCCCATTAAAGTTTTTGGGAATACAAGTTGGTTCTTGGTTGAGTTTGGATTTAACAATTATGAGTTGGTTCTACTTCCTATTCAGTAGCTAGGAATTTTTTATGATGCCAGTGTTTTAACCGTTAGATCTTTAGTTAAAAACACGTGAAATTTTTAGGGTTTTTGAGGTGAAGGCAATGTAATGCTGATGAAAGTATGAATATGTTTGGTATGTCTCTGTTCTGTAGTAGGAATTCTTTATAATTAAAACAATGGCATTTGTTCAAATATTTCAGAGGAAAGAGTAATCTGCAAACAAGACGATGTTAATGAAAATTGACAATGGCTAAGCAAATTATTCGATTTACGCTCATCAGTCTCATGTGTAGAAACTGGAGTTGCAGCAATTGTTTACACGGTTGCATTACGCAGGCTTCGTCGAAAGAGAAAACAAGAAGCAAAATGTTTTCTGTGCTATATTAGATATTACAGAAGCTCCTATAGTATGGCAGAAATGAAACAAGAAGCATTAAGACTTAAAACAAACCTTTAGATTAAATTCACAAACTAGTTCGTGTCCCGCCAACCAGGTGCTAGTGAAAGGTTGCTACAACGGGGAGGTGGGGCGTTGTATGGCGTTGCAGCTGTTTGTCCTAGCACGAATCAAATTCTGTTCCCTGCTTGATATAAACACAAAATTTTAGTTGTCTGCTAAATTCAACAATAATCTGTCTTATACACCAGAAGCATTCAGGTGGCAAAGAGATGAATTACAATGTAACACAAACAAAGCAGCAGCTAAGTAAGAAGGCTAACCTGCCAGAATCCCATGAGGCTCCCATTTTAGTATCCCTATATGCATATTACACTGTTATTTGATTATTGTCGATTGCATGGATACTGTCATGTTTGCTAGTCGTCGCCCAAATGAAATGGAGGAAGAAGAAGAATCCAAATTGTGAATCAACTGCACATGAAAAGGCACCATTTCAGCAAGCAATATGACAATAAGGAAACGCCAATATACACATGAACAACGCAACTGAAACAAAATCCTTTGCACTTTGACAATATAGGGGTAGAAAGACAAAAGACTCCCAAGAAAACTAAAACGAAATAAGTTCTCTTAGGTTGTGAAAACCCTGAGCAAACAATGCTTTTGGAAATGAAAGACATGCCCAGGCATTACCTTTTGGGTTCATAAGTACGACTCCTAGTTCACTACAAGAGAGCTTCTCATCCCCATCCTACAAAAGATATCGGGTTTAAATTATGACATTAAAGCTGATGTCATAGTGTATCTGTTTTCCCCAACGTCCAAGCTCTTTCCGTTTTGGGATGCCTGCAATTGAAGAATTCACACAAACCATCAAAATTATATTACATACGTCAAAAATGATAAGCTATGAAAACACATTTCAATACCTCGTTTGGTTTCCCATAAAGTTTTATCATATGAAGTACCTTGACTGCCTCAATAGCAGTCAAATAAATACAAATAGTAAGAATCAGAAAACCACAACAGGGAAAGAGTAGCAAGAGTATCTTGAGAGAAGGGCAATTGTGACATGCATAAGGTTTACACCAGACTATAAAATTCAATTCATGTCCTTGACAAGAGGTTTCCTTTCGCACTCTTTCTTTGGGAACATACACAGTAACTGGAAGAGGAAGAAGGACGCTCATACTGCAATACAACAACAAAGCCTTTTCCCACTAAGTAACTGCAATATATCTTAAAAAATCATATTCGTATAGTTTCATTATGAGTAACACACAGGTTACAACCATCTAAATCAAACACGAACAAAGGGTTTAATCTGCTCTGCATACAAAGGCTATTACTGTGGATACAGCTTCAACAAAAAATGAGTGCAGACAAACGAAAATAGGGGCATAGCCAATTGGAACGAAAGGTTCCCAAATAATTCTTGGAAAAGCAGAGCAACCAACAACTCAACCAAAAGATAGAACAACTCAACTACTCGACAACAAAACATTAGCTACTTAACCTCATGTTCCTGCAGAGAGACAGTTGGGAAAACCTTAAAAGTTGATAGGAAAACAATTATACAAGTACAAGAATGAAGAAGAGAACCTGAGGGTCCAGATTTCAGGTACAAGCAGTGGAACTTCGCTTTCGCTTGGCAGTGCGTCAAGCTGGCCAAGTCAACTCCTACTCCCGGAGGAGATATTTGAGTCTTCATTCCCCCACTCCTCCTTCAAGAGAACTGACCCTATATACCAAAAAAACTTTGTAAGCAGTTGACGGGTTTAGATTCTCAGCTTAAACTTTTGACCACAAATTTTTTATATTGGTGATTTGGACCTTGTTTTTTTTCTTGGACTTTCAATTTCTCAATCGTGTATAACAGAATAGGTTTTGGTTGACAACTCCTCTCCTCTCCCCTCTGCATTCCAGTTTCCAGCGACTCTCCATAATCTGGTCACTCTCTCCTTTAAAACATGACAACTTCATATGCAATTTGGCGACTCTCTCCTAAGTCATATGGCGGCTTTCTTTCCTCTATAATCTGGCAACTCCCGCGAACAATTGTTTCAGTTTTGAATCAAGACATATTTGTGAAACTCATTCTGGTGTGAGTTGCAATATTGAAATTTTCGCCGCTAAACTCAGAAACATCCACAAGCCAAAGCACAACACAGAATTCAGGGGCCAAATGTGGCAGGATAAGTTTCATACATATATGACATGTTATTAAAAACACAATTACAAACTACAACGGCCATGGCATATGCAGGATGCTAAGGTCCCAAAGGGTATGTAAATAAAATGGGCCTGCTTCCATTTCTGAATAAAAGACGGCAAGAGCAAGAACGCATAAATCTTACCAACTGCCAAATTGCAGACAACGAAAAGAAAACCAACATAAAAATATTCAAAATTGAAGCTCATACAGTATTACAATTTCAAAAAGCTTCGAACTTGCTTCTTTATGCGGCCAATTGACATCCTTGCTCGCCTTTTAATCAGATGGGCTCACCAGCCGCAGCCGAAGATGCAATAATACCGGATTGAACTCAGACCAACGAGCCGGAATCCCATCAATACTTATGCTGTAGCCTCTTTAGCCTCCTCATCTGCGACTGAAGACGCACCAGTATCAGAAGAAGCCAAACCTAGACCCTGCTCCAATTTCTTCCAGGCAACCAAAACATTAGGAGGGAACTTCTTCTTGATCGTGCGTATCAATCCCTTGGCCTCCTTCATCTTCTTCTTTTTCACCAATCCTTCAGCCAAATACTTCATTGTATTGAAATCGGGGATCTTATGCACCTCCACACTTCTCTTGTAAACTTTATACGCCTTGTCATAATCCCCACTTTCACACAAATAAAATATCAAAGTTCGAAAAGTTGCAGCATTTGGATTACAAGCATTTCCCTCCAACCCCTCATAAACCTTGACAGCTTCTTCCATCATCCCATTCCTGCAATAGCAAGTCATCAAGTAATTGTAACTAATAGTATCCGGTTTCAGCCCGGCATTCGCCATTTCCTCTATCAAAGCTTTCACATTGTCCGCGCTCCCGCCATGGACATACATAATCTTCACATTATAAGCCGCAGCATCAACCTCAACGCCCTTCTTCACCATCTCATCCCACAACTTCTCTGCCTCTTCGCCATTGCCCTTCTTGTACAAAGCATTGAAAATTGTAGTGAACGTCACCGCAGTGATCTCAATACCCTTCTCCTCCATCAACCTCAGCGTCTCCATCGCCTTCTCGGGCTTATCCGCAGCACAATACGACTTAATCAGTATACCATACGACACTTTATCAGGGGAGACCCCATGCTTGTTGGGAATTTCGTCGAAAAGCTGGGGGACTCTGTCGAAATGCTTAGAATCGTTGCAGGCAGACAACAGAGTGTTGAAGGAAATGGCGGTTCTAGGAGTACCCAGCTGGTCCATCTGATCAAAGGTCCTCAATGCCTGGTCAAACATGCCGGCGCGGCCGTAGGATCGGATGAGGGTGGACAGGAACGGCTCCTGGGTGATTTTGGGGTCATTTTTGTGGGATTCAATGAAGGATTCGATGTCAGCAAAGCGGTGGGACTTGGCGAGGCGGCGGACGGTGAGATCCTGGGTGTAGCGAGACGAGGTGGGAGAAGAGTAGTGTTCGGAGACGGAGGAATAAATCTGGAGGGCTTTGTCAGGGTCGTACTCGGTTCGGAGCTTTGATTTCGCTTTTGAGATGGAAAGGGTAGACTTGGCGGTGGTGGTGGATAGATGGCGGAGGTGGCGGAGGGGAATCGAAGATGACATTTTTAGGGTTTTTGCAGCTTTTTGGGGGTTTTGGGTGGATGCTCTTGCTCTGTTCTTTCGAAATGTTTAGGGTTTTAGGAGTGCTGTTATTTGTCCTGTTGCTGCGCAACGTATGGGATTAGGATTTCCAGGGTAAAAATTTCCGACTTTTCACCCTCTAATTTTCAACTTTTTTATGAATAACTTGAGTGGAAAAAAATTAGTGACATTTTTGCATAATATTTTGGCTTATTTTTAGCTAGCTATTGCACGTGTTCTTCATCAAATCTTGTTTTACCCCTTTGCATTTTATACTCTCATTTTACCATTCTTTCTTCGTGCCCCACTTCACCCTCTACGCTTGTATTGTCACACTTTACCACCTATAATCTTCTTCCATATCCTACTCTAACCTATATCTTCAAATAAGTTACAAGACTCGTTGTTTGTGTTGACATGGCATGAGCAGTCTAGTCTTTTCAACTAAGCTGTTTGTGTGGCCTATGTCATGTCATGTTAGTGGAATCCATGGATTAACAGATGTGGGTTAAACTCAAATTAGTGTTCGATTTCTCTATATTAAGAGAAGAAAGGAAGAAGAAAATGTTGAATTTCAAGATTCGGGAGTAAATTCGAAGTGTTCGATTCTCCCCGCGGAGATGCGGTCGGATGCCAAAAACAGACCAAATACGTAATGCAATAAATAGAAAGACAAGGAAATACCACAACTTATATTCAAGTTCTTAACTTCAGTCCTTCCACTAACTGAAAAAAAAAAAATACGCGTCAAATTATTCCTAGTCATACATACCAGGATACACGATACAACTCTAATGAAAAAATGCAAACTCAAAAGTTCTAATTAAGAGAGAATCTCAATAGATCACTTAGTAGTACACTTAAGACGAACAACTAGCCCTCGTAGTCGCGCTGGCCGAACTTGTCCTCCGGATAAAACACTGCTACCACCTGATTGCCGCCAAATTTCCGGCCATTCAACCCCGTGCGGGCTTTTGTGGAGCCATCAGTATCTGCGTACTCCAAAAACACCTGCCAATACAAGAATATTTTCAGCATGTAGAAGAGCAAAAACCTGAAAAATCAGATATTCGAAACAAAATGTATTAATAACTAGATTTCAGACACGAAGACACAAACCTTCCCAACACCGGGGGCAAGTTCACCATCTGGTCTTGGACGCGGGATGATGACGTTCACTAATGCACCTGCAGATCAGTCAAAATCAAATAACTATTAAAAATAGACGACAACACAAGTCTTAGATGAATTTAGAAGGTTATGGAGGCTTCTGTCTGAATGTTAACGCCTGATTCTTTATAGCAGAATGTGGGACTACAAAAAAGGCTGTAAAACAGAAAGATAACGACAAAAAGAAAAGAGAAAATCAATACCGCAATAAACTTTGTAGGTTAATCAGAAAAAACCAACAAAAAAAGAATAGTGAAATTAACAGCGAGTGATGGTAACTTACCAAACTTTTCGCCTTCAAGCCTCATGTCTTCCAAGATATCATCATACTCAGTATCGTCCCTAAGCTCATCTGCAGTTACTACCTGAGTTAAACATACAACCTTGGTGGCAACAGAACTAGGCGGTTGCAACAGCATGAACCTCTGCAAAAGAAACAAACACCACAAGACGTTAAACCAAACCCAGATTAACTAAACTTTCTGAAAAATATTAATTTAAGCCAATTTAAAAGTATAGTTTAGTCTAACTTAACACCTACTAGGGGAAAAATTAGCACTTTCACTCTTACCTGCAATGCAATTTGCTGCTGTGCGTGCAACAGAACGCTCTCTTGCTCAGGTTTGGGCTGGTTGGCACCTTGGTTAGCACGCCTAACTGTGAGCGTCTTGTCACCCATTTTAATACCGTTCAGCGCTGCACAAGCTATGTCTGTAACAGAAAGGTCTTGGTAAACACAAAAGGCATAGCCTTTTGAGTTTCCTGTTTCCCTGTCTTTCACTAAATCAAAACCACGAAGGGGTCCAAAGGATTCGAGTAACTCCTTGATCTGTGCTTCTGTGAAGTAATATGGCAGCCCACCAACAAATATGCGATCAGGGCCCTCAAGCCCACCAGCAGAACCCGGTGTAAGCCCCACAGCGGCCAGGTTCAGGTTGGGATTGGGCTGGCTTGGACCGAGTGTTGCAGCCAGAGATGGGTTGTAATCACTAGGTCTCCGCACCTTAACAGGGGCTCCCTGTAGCAATTGTCCAAAAACAAAATAAGGGAATTGTCAATACTATGAACGTGAAGTTAATCCAAAATGCTTAAGTCAATCATACATGGATATAAATGAAAGGAAAGATTAGAAATACCTCAAAAATAATTCCATCCAGAGCCATTGCATTGCTAGCCTCTTCAACCGATCTCATCTCCACAAAAGCAAATTTCTTTTCATGGTTTATGTAGACATTGACAACAGCATCTCCTGCACGAAACAAGTAAAACAACAATTAGGTGATCAACTAAAGGGAAGGACTTTATTATACCAATTTGAGTGCAAACGTCAATATACCTGGGCCAGCAGTGTTCCCTCCAATTGCAGCCATAACTTGGCTGAAAAATGTAGCAACAGACTGCATATGACAGGAAAAACCACATTATCGATAGGAAAGTGTAAGCTTGAGTACACATTAAAAACTTAGTGTTCATGTTGAACAAAAGGTAGATAAGCAAAAATAATAAATGGTAAAGGTGAGTTTGAGTAAACCTGTTCATTTGCTGTGGGAGGAAGCCCTCCAACGTACACTCGTCGGGCATGCCTAGTAGCCTGATAAGTATAAATAAAGAATAATTAATGTCAGCACATGTTACAATTAGGGAGTAGTGGGATGTACTGAATACTGATACAAACTAAAAAAAATTAATCTCAATCATGGCAACCTGTTGAGTCATTGCCTGAACAGGCATAACTGGAAGGGGTGCAAACTGCTGTGCGCACAAATAAAACATAATATTAGTGAAACTCAAGCATGCTGAGATGTATGGATCGCAAGGGGAAAGCGAGAAGAAGATAGAGAGCGAGAGATACCTGACCGGTCGACAGAGGGAACATGTTTGGGAACATTCCCGGAATGGTAGGACTAGTCCCAGGAATTTGCCCTGCAAAGAAAATCGGATCACATGCAGTCATCAAAGAACTACCAGATTAAACTTCTAAAACTACTTAAATGTTACTGCCAAATGACTCCTCCGCCACTTCATTTCCATGCAAACTCATTGGGTTAAGCAATACCCGGACCTTCAATTTATATAGTTTATCAGAGGAGCTGAAAGAAATATATCATTTACGAATTATGGGGGAAATATTTGTAAGACTACCAAAAAAGGCAATAGTTGCCGGTTGACGACGAACAAGATCCATCAAACCGGTGCACTGATTCCTCCTTGTACATAAAAGCTACAGAAGTCGGCTCACACCCATTGTCATCACAGTGGGGCAAGTAGTCCAACATTGCCTTCTTACAACAAAGGACAAGACAGAGAAACAAAACAACAAAAACACCAAAAACAAAAAAAACCAAAAGATCTCTCAGTCCCATAATTATTTCACCAAGTAAACAATAAAAATGTTGTAACCTTTCCAGAGACCACAGCTTTATAAAGGTTATATGCACAAGGGAAGGAACAAAATATACCTTACCAAAATAACACCATGCAATTGGATATGAACTTTCCACACTAGTCCAACAAAGAGAAAAAACAGTTAAACAAAATATAACAATCCCAAGTCTAGAAGAATAAATGTACCTGCTGCAGCAACAGCAGCACCAGCTAACATTGCAGAAGCAGGAGGTGCCATGTCAAAACCGCTAATCCTTTTGCTGCAAGCCGTTAGTGTCAGGATACCAAAAACAAAGTCAACATAAAAGAGACAACTTAAAGGCATGAGACTAGAAAACCTACATTCTACAAAACGTTATTATCACAGCTCCACAGAAAAAATAATATCACAAAATTATTGTCTTACCCCCAACTTAAACCTACATGAAACTCATACACAAGAAATCACGACTATAAATTTCATAGAAGTTGATAGTTCACTACCTACCTAAAATGGTATCTGTAGGTATAAATTTTGGGAGAGACAGGCATTCATTATCCAGGTGTGGTGGTGAAAAGCGGGGTTCGGATTTGATTATCTACATCCCAAGAAAAATGAAACAGAACCACATCTTTCACCACTAGCTAATGGATAGTCAAGTATTAGGAATAAAGATGGCAAACAAACAAAATTACAAACAAGAAGACCCAAACCCAAATAAGGAAAATATTTAATGAAAAGAACTCATCAACCAAGTGTTTATTCCAAAAATACTTAGGATTTGCTGCAAAAGTTAGGAGTCCTTTGCTAACCTCTCATAAAGAAAAAATACCTTTTTGAGCGTGAACGAGAGCGTGACCTCGATCTGGATTTGTGCTCAGATCTAGCTCTTGAACGAGACCGGGACTTGCGCCTATGCCTATCCTCTCTGTCTCTGTCATAATCCCTCCGTCTGTAAAATCAAGGCATAAATTATAATAGTAAAAGGACAAAAAGAATCTCAAAGCTTCACCAGATTAATTAGTATAATAGTTATATAGCAGTTTAAAATTCCAAATTGCACAAATTGCATCATACTCAGTTGATATTTACACAACCAAGTTCATCATCTCCTAACAGAATATTCATTTAAAGGTAGACAATGGAATCAAAATTGGTCACACCTATCAGAGTCCCGGGTACGGTAGTGACCATTGTCGTCGTCGTCCTTGTCTCTCCGTCGCTCACTTCTCTCGCGATCCCTGTGGCGGTCTCTGTGATGACGATCGCGATCCCTGTCCCGGTCTCTTTCTCTTTCTCTATCACGGTCCCTATCCCTAACCCTATCTCTATCCCTATCCCTTTCCCTATCCTTGTCCTTGCTTCTCCCCCTGTCTCTATCTCTGTCCCGGTCCCTGTCCCTCTCCTTATCACGCCCTTTATCTCTATCCTTTTCTCTGCTCTTTGAAGATTCTCTCTCGTAATCACGAGACTCATGCTGCAAAAGAGACAATTCAATCAGTGTATTGTAAATTAAACGATGAAATCAAGCTAATATACACCCTTTCAGCAAAGATACTTCAATATAATTATTTTCCAGATGAAATATGTACATTTTAGTGTTATTAAATATCAAAGTGTCCTCCCACTTATAACAGAACACATAACTGCGACAGTTGCGTATAAGTATAAGAGAATTGTCTACAGCACAATCCTGACACAGCCAAAGCAAGAACATCTTTCACAATGTACATCATCATATCTATACTAAAATGCATAACTGCGACAAGTGTGCACAAGTATAAGAGAATTGTACACAACTATAAGCATTAAACATCCATAACCAAATATGCAAGAGACATAAACCAGTTTAACAAACCCTGATTAACAGATAATTCTATGCAGAAACCTTGTCCAAGAAAACCCCAAACCCCCAAATTCACTAGCTAAACACAAATTCAAAGCAGAAAACGAGTAGATCATACAAAGGCAGAAATTCGGATGAAACAAAAAACACACAGAATTCAATATATTCAAAGAACCCTAATTTAACAACCAATCCAACCCACCCAAACTAAACCCTAAAACACTCTCGTAAACGCGACCCTTTCGTGTACCTGCAATACTACGTGTACCTGAGATTTGGAATCGCTGTAATCGTCGGCACCGCCGTGGACGGCAGCACGAGGTTGGGGAGAGGAACCGCCATCGGCGTATGTGCCAGCGTCCTCTCCGTTACCATCGTACCTCCCTTCGTATTCCGTCATCATAGGTTTTCCGCTATCTCGTAGTTGGAAGTCTCGATGTTGCAATCTTACTTGGTGTTTGTTTCTCGGGAAAATTGTCTGCGGTAAGTGACTCTGAGCGAGCGCTGAGAAATCTAGGGCTCGATAATTTGGGCTTTTTCTCCCTTTTATAGACCTCCAAGTTAAAGTGGTCGCTAGTGGTTGGGATTACTGAAGGCGGTAAAAAAAAAATTTATTCTATTTTTATATAATTTTATTCATTTTTATATGTTTTTTACAACATGTTATAGCCTTATAGGCAGTAATATTTAAGTGAATTTTTCGCAATATTTGAAGAGCTGTTTTATAAAACTAATAATTATGAATTTCTTTGCTAAATTTGGCTATAAATGATCATTTCACTTAATTTTAATTAATTTTTTAATTGAAAAATAATATTTAATGTGAAAGTTATTTAGAGTTAGGTGAGAATATACATGACAAATGATAACTAGCATACACCATAGTTACGGTGATAAGCAAAAATGTTCCATAAATACTCATTTTCAATCACTTATCTAACGTGGTAAGTGATATGTACACGTCATGTCAATTAATGAATCTAATGATTAAATGTTGATTGTACCATTTCTTTTCACATGACTCAAAGTAAACTCTTCATGGACTCTCCGCCACCTTATGTTTTTTGCACAAGATTTTACAATGTTGGAACAAAAACTGCGCCAAAAACCTAAAGTGGTAGAGAGTTCATGGAAAGCCCCACTTTTAAAAGAGTCTCCTTAGCATTTCTCGTTATACCAAATCACCGATATGGTTTAAAATATGAACTCCCTAACATTTGCTCTTAATGTAATCTCTCTAACATTTACTCTTAATCAAATAAATGTTTATACCTTAAGGGGGCGTTTGTTACAGCTCCTTAGGAGGGACTGGCTTGGACTAGCTTAAATAGAACTATAATCCTGTGTTTGGTGGCTGGCAGGACTAACATTAATGGCACTAATGGGACTCGCTTTCACAAACGCCTTCACTGGCCGGTCTTAGCGAGAGACCCCGACACCCATAGTCCTCTCTTGCCTTCGTCCACTCTCGCTGCATCTTTATCTCCTTCGTCTGCTTCGCTGCCCTGGGTTCATCGACCTCGATTTTCTACGGCATGGGATTCAATGAAAGTTGGAAGTTGGGGAGGCGTAGGGACAAGTAAGTTTACAGAGATTGGAGAAAAGGGAAATAGGAGGGAGAGGCGGAGGGACATGGGGAAAAAAGGGAAAGGAGGATGGAGAGGCGGGTGGAGAAATAAGGTTACAGAGAGATTGGAGAAGGGGAAAAAGGGAAAGGGGATGGAGAAAAGGGAAATAGGAGGGAGAGGTGGAGGGACAAAAATGGGGTAAAAGGGAAAGGGGGATGGAAAGGTGTAGTAAAAGGGAAAGGGGGATGGAGAGGTGTAGGGACAAGTTAACAGAGATCGGAGAAGGGGAAAAAGGGAAAGGAAGATTGGAGAGGATGATGATTATAGAAGAAGGAAAAAACAAGATAAAGTAATAATAAAATATTAATCAATATATATTAAATTAATATAAAATAATATAATATTGTAATCCTGCTTCTTAGTCCGACACTGCACCAAACGCTTCACTAAACTAATCTAGCTTAGTCTAGTCTAAGCCAGTCCAGCTTAGTCCCTGAAGCTAGTCCAGTCCGAGACAGTCCGGTGCAACAAACACACCCTAAGATTAATCAAATAAAAAAACTTAACGGAGTGGGATGACAAGAACAACTTAGATGATCATAGTAAGAGATGACAGACTAAATTGATAAGTTTGGAACATATAGAACCTAACTGATGAGTTGATAAAACAGAAGAGACCATACGTGGTTCCTCTTTTGGCCACCATAACTATCATTTCAAAACACAAGCTCGCACACACAAAGTTAGATTTAACGCAATTGTCCTACCGTTTAAAACATCACACGCGCAAGCGCGCGCATACACCATGCAATCTTCAGTATTGATCGTGGGATTCGCCATCCGATCACATGTACGGTGGTGTGGCTTCAAGACTGCCATATTTTGAATGGCGTTACTTGAAATTCTTGCACAGGTAGGAGGAAGCATAAGAAAAATTCCAATACAGCGGCAGATGAACGTGGATTTAAATTGTAATCTTTTCTTCTTTCATTGATAATAGAACGACGATTTACGACGACAAAATTTCATGTCAAGTATGTGTCTGCACAAAACTATCATTCTACGATTCTAGTATTATACTACGAGTCTACGACCATATACTCACTGGAAAAGGAAAGAACAAATCAATCTGGTAGCTTGCTTTCCGTGAAACCGTGAATAAATTTCATCACGTTTCCAAAATTCAGTTCCCGCCATCACCCTTTTTTAAGACCCATGAAGAACCGCTGGACACGCAGAACTCATTAATGACCTGCACAAGAAAGCAACTTGTATTAAGAAATGATCACGAGAAATTGTATTACAGGCCAATGCTGCATTCATCACTGATACACCATTTACACCATTCACTAAACATCGCGATAACCTGGAGTACTTAATGAAACCATGATTCTGAAAAGAAACCGATGTGTTTGCAGGCTGCTGATACATAAGAACCATCGAGTGGTTCAAGAACAGAGTTGGAAACGTAGGGCAGCAACAAGAAGACGACAATGGTCAGGTTTAGGGTTTTTAGAGCCTAGGGTCTTCTAAATTTTAATTTGTTTGAGGAACATGTCGCAAGATTGGAGAAAGAAATTGTGTTAGGTAACCTGACAACCAATGTAAAACTTTGTCGAATCACAAACATGAAATAAAACTGACCTTGCTGAATTCGTTAGCAGTGAATTCCTTCCCAAGAGAAATCTTAGTTGCTTCAGAAACCTCACCCCTTTTAAGCTTAGCATTAGGTCCTTTTGCACATAGAAGATCCATAACAACCTTCCTGCAAGATCAAACTCAAACTTAAGTTAAATAAGAGTAGAACTTATTACTTTACGACAATTTTAATGAAGGGAATCTTGCTTATTCTGAAATCACACAGGAACATGCACAGCACAACATCATCATAGTTGCTATTAAGTATTCAAGTGATTCTCAAAACCTCTTCTGGTAATATGTCAAAGCCCCAGTGAAGGTGAACAACGTCGTATGCTTTTGGGACTAAATAATTTAAAAATAGAAGAAAACGGGAACAACCTCAATTTGTCATGCTCTGGGTGATCTGGTGATGATTTCAAGACATACGAACCATGTATGTCTATCGCAATTTCACTTATTACTTTCTGCAGCTCATGTGGAGGAGCCTGAACTCCATATTGTGCAGCCGTCACTTTTTTACTTCTAGGATCAACCTTTGGAAGAGTAGATGTTCTGACTGCCAGATCACTTAATCCTCTACGTATCAGTTGAAAGCTGCCCACAAAATGACAAAACTCAGGACGACAAGAATGAGAGAGATACTTCCAATTTTAATGATAGCATTCTGGCATTAAGAACAAAGAGCATTAGTAATGTAAAGTCTACACTCGCTGTGTAGGGCAATAAAAACACTTCTTAAGATGATTCAATTAATAAGAAAGTACTGTATGATTATTATTAAACCTTCAAAATAGAGCAACACTAGGGAACCACCATTATGCAGGATGAGGATCCTCTCCGGATCCTCTTTGTGGGGATCCTAGGGATCCTCACATCCTAGCCGTTCATCGTACATCGTGCGGCCAATTTTCATTAGGTACTATTTGTGTTTAATTTTAAATAAAAATTATTCAAAATGATTTCTGACCACACGATGTACGATGAACGACTTAGATGTGAGGATCCCTAGGATCCCCACAATTTAGATCCTGATGCGATCCAAATCCCATTATGCAGTCATATTACGCAGAACTAAAAATTTCAAAACAAAACAAAAGATGAAAAAGATAGTCTTGAAAACTTTGAAAACTTACTTGCAAACCTTGTGTTCTTGAAAAACCTCCTTTATAGCCTCTTGCAGAGCTGCTCGAGTTTCATCTGACATGGTTCTTCCCCCAGTGTGAACTTCACTTGTAGCTTTTGTCGTACCTTTATCAGAATTCAGTGGTTTGCCACGCGTGGTAGTCATACTAGCACTCTTCAAATAACGGTCAGTATTAGATTTAAAGGCTATCCTCAACTTTTCTTCAATCCTGTCCCAGTTCTGTTCTTGGGTTTTAACAATGTCCGGGTAGCGTTCCATGAATGACATATCTGGTTGCTCTTTGAATTTCCAATCTTGAGTGGAAGGTCTTGAGACAGCTAACATTCTAAGGGATTCATACACATGAGTTCTAATGCCCTCTTGGAGGTCTAGCTGTGAATTACTGATTACAGGATTCTTCCGAAATAAATTCAGGATGTAATTTCTAGCTGTCTGCCGATCTTTATGATCTTTAGTTGATATATGATTTGTATCCAAGCCTTTATCATCTTTATTTGGATATAATAATAAGGTTTTTGGAACCCAAAGACCAGAGGACAGCAACAACTGAGCATGCTTCTGAAGAACATCCAGAAGTTCTTCCGCGGTGTGATCGGGAGCAAAGTACTTCTTAAGATCACTGAACCGGCGTGCTACAGGTTCCTGTTGTGGGACAATTATGGTTTCATTGTCACAACTTCAAGAAATTTTGAACTATAATAGAAAAATTAGCTATTTTCCATATGATGGAAACAATGCTGATAAGTTCGAAAAATTAGCTTCAAATTTACCAGTATATCATCAAAACATTAATTTGTGGCTTTGGTAATTGCAACAAACCTCAACAATCAACTTCTTGATACGCTCTTCCAGAGGCAGGGAAAGCAGAGACCTAAAATGACAAGCAGAATGGGATTAACATAGTATATACTTCCATCATTGTTTATCTGGCCAGCAACCAGGTGGTATTTGTGCAAATTTCTCTTTTTTAAAGGGGGGATAAATTGATAATCATCATACCTCTTTGAAAATTAAAGGTAATGTCTCCAAAAAGAACTTAATAAAAGGAAATAACATATTATAATTTCCACAATGTTAAAGTGAAATCAAATGAAAGAACTAAATAATATAAAAATGACCGCACCTTCTTGAAGAACCTTTGCACGTTCTAGGACATAAGGAGTCAACATAGTCATGCCTTCAAATAACAAAATTCAAACATTATAATTAGCATATCTAAAGCTTTTAAAGAACGGGGGGACAGGTAAGTACTAGTAAGGAAAAATAAGAACATACGGGCTCATTGTAAATTGTATAGGTGAACTTTCTTGCCCCACCATCTTCCGTAAATATCTGGCCGAGAAGTCACTTTCTGAGCTATGATACCGAAGTGGAACCCAACTCTGGAAGATACAGTGGAGAAAATAGATATCATACATTATTTATTCATATAAATTATCACAACCAATCTAATAAAATCAACCGCTGTAGCTCCTCCTGGACCATTACAGATACTTAAACATTCACAAAACTAAGCACATATTTGCCTTCTGGTATAAACAAAAACAAAATCCACAGCATTAATTCCTAGGAATAGCAGAAAAAGATAAAAAAGCATTAAGAATAAAAAATCCTGTCAATGTCAAATAAGCAATCAACAAAGTCAACCACAGTTGTCAATGTTTCAAAATCACATGTTTAATGATCGCTAATGTGGCATGTTTAATGATCCTGACATGTTTATAATGTCAGGGAGAACAAATGTCCAGTTTTTCCACCTGTGACATTAAGAAGATTTGTACCTATGTCAGGCAAATAAAGAATGACCACCGGAATACTTTTTTTTTTTTTTTTTTGAACAAACGATATTATCTACACTTAGGGGGAGGGGATGGGCTAAGCCTCACAATGGGCTAGTGATAATGTGGTTCAAATTCACCTTTGTCGAGAATCGAACCTAAGACCTCTCACTTATAAGTGAAGAAGAATACCACTAGGTCATACATGATTTTCTATTGTTCCAATTTAATTCACCAACAATAAATTTCTCCAGTTTCATGACCAAAAACATAAACCACGAAAGATCTCATACATATCCTTTCACATGATTTATTACGATTTGAAATGAAAACACAAGTTAAATGTTTGTTCTAAAGCCAACTAATGTATAAGAAGATAAAGGACGTGGAGTACCCAATGCACTACACAAATCTTAAAGGGAAGATAAAGGACATGGAATAAACCATAAATAGCCAAAGGATTCAACAGAAATGAAAACGAAAGACTACCACATATGCAATTGTCTTAGGATAAATGAAACTTCTAACTTATAAGCCGCACTTACAAATAAAACTTGATAATGTCATACTCAACTCAACAATCAAAATAACAATTTCTCATCTGACAGGAAAACAAGAAGGGAAGAATCATTTTTCCCATTGATTGAGTTACCTAAAAGATATTAACTTTTTCACATGTAAACCGAAACAAAAAAGCAGAATAATAAAGACTCCACATCAAAAACAATAGAAAGAAACAATAATCAAAAGAGAACACTTGTAATGGCTGATGACATCAAACATTATTATGTTAACACATAGTAACATTTTCTCCTAAGGAACCCAAAATGCACAAAAAACCACACTGGAACTGCTCATAAATAGCTTATATTTGTTCATAGCCACCAGTTCAGAATATTAAACAAAGTTTGCAGATTATAAATAGTAACTTTCCCATACCTCTTCATCTTCAATTTTTTTCTCAGTTGAAGACTCCATCCGCTTGTTCTGAAACAAAATAGTCTCATGACATAAATCAAGTCCTGTTCTGTAAACAGTCATGACTAAAAAAAGTGCCTGGTTATTGTAAATCTTAAAGTAAATCCTGGGTAGATTTGATAAGTTCCAATAATACACAAGGAGCAAAGACTGCCGTAAGAACTCATGAAGGACAAACCGAAAGCTTTCCCATAACTGTAGGATTACATCAAGGCTCATCCTTAAGTCCTTACCTTTTTGCGTTGGTAATGGATGAGTTAACACGACATATTCAAGATGATATTCCTTGGTGTATGCTTTTCGCAGACGATATAGTGTTGATAGATGAAACTCAGGAAGGGGTAAATGCAAAGCTTAACCTTTGGAGAGAAGTGTTGGAATCTAAAGGTCTTCGCCTAAGCCGATCAAAGACAGAATATATGGAGTGCAAGTTCAGTGCAAATGGAGGCCAAAACGAGTTAGGGGTGAGGATCGGAGATCAAGAAATACCAAAGAGCGACCGTTTTCGTTACCTAGGATCTATCTTGCAAAAGAACGGAGAATTAGATGGAGATCTCAACCATAGAATACAAGCTGGATGGATGAAGTGGAAGAGTGCATCCGGCGTGTTGTGTGACCGCCGTATGCCACTGAAGCTCAAGGGAAAATTTTATAGGACGGCAATAAGGCCGGCGATGCTGTATGGCACAGAATGTTGGGCGGTGAAACATCAACACGTACACAAAATGAGTGTAGCGGAGATGAGGATGCTTCGTTGGATGTGTGGGCACACGAGAAAATGATAAGATTAGGAATGAGGATATCCGGGGTAAAGTAGGAGTAGCCGAAATTGAAGGAAAGATGAGAGAAAATCGGTTACGGTGGTTTGGACATGTGCAAAGAAGGCCTACTGACGTTCCGATTAGAAGATGCGACTATGGGACAGAGGTTCAGGGCCGAAGGGGTAGAGGAAGACCTAGGAAAACTTTGGAAGAGACTCTAAGAAAAGACTTAGAGTACTTAGATCTAACGAAGGACATGACACAGGATCGAGCACAATGGCGTTCTAAGATTTATATAGCCGATCCCACTCAGTGATTGGATTTTCCAAGAAAAACCCTTAGATCTATCCACTTCAGATTTAACAAAAGTAAAGAAGCCGATCCAAAAGTCTCAACTTGGACAAGTCTCCAACCGAGAGTTTTCCTCACTCGGGAAATTAAGGGAACACTACCCCAACCTAACATGCTCCACTCAGAAAGCTTAACAACAAGCTTTAACAAAAAGAAAATTCAAAGAACTTAGCGAAGAAGGCTTTGGTGTATTAACACAATACGTTGAAATGAAGGAAAATTTATTGATATCCCCGATAAGCTACAAAATATGTACATTCAAAATAGCACACAGAGAGGGAGCCTTCACAAAGGTTGCTTGGAAGTTCTCAGCAGTTAAGAGTAGAGCCCCAGAAAGAGAAGGCACCGGAGGGGGATCATTTGGAGCCTCAGTACTGGACAGAACCCTAGATTTGGAGGACTGGAGGCAAGGAGGATCAGAGGTTGATCATTTGGAGCTTCATTACGCGGTACAGCCCCAGAAGACGAAGGCAATAAATGCCTTTGGAACAAACCCACAAATCTCTGATGATCAAGTAAAACCTGACCATCAGTTTCCTTCATCTGGTCAAGCTTCCTCTTCATGTTTGTAGCATAGTCATGTGCGAGCCGGTGCAACTGTTTATTCTCATGCTTGAGTCCTCTAATCTCCTGTTTGATACTCATCACTTCAGCCGCCAATGATTCAACTTGGCAGGTTCGAGCAAATAGGCGTTGGGCCATATTAGACACAGAACCTGCACACTGAACACTGAGAGCCAGCGAATCCTTAACAGCTAACTCATCAGACCGTTTGGAAAGTAGTCTGTTATCTTTGGGAGTGAGAAGGTTCCTGGCCACCACCGCAGCGGTCATATATCATTCTTCATCACGGAATCCCCAACGGTAAGAGGACCAGTAGGGGGAGACGAAGGATGGGCGCCATATGTTGTCTGGAGAAGGCGGGGGCTGCCTCTTCAACAAGGTTCAAGTCAAAACGACGGTCGGAGGGGCCAGACATTTTCAAAGGTGTTGAAGAGAGAAGAGGTCGGACAAATCAAGATCTTAGAAGTGCAAGAATGAAGCTTCTACTGGTGGAGATTCAAGTGTGCTTTGGAACTTAATGCCAGCCCCTATAAAAATCTGCACTCGACGAAGCTTCAGAAATCGAAGAGGCGCCTGCTCAGAAATCGAAGAGGCGTTTGCTTTCTCAAAAGCTGGGCTACTTAGAGATCACGAGGGTTGATCTCAGAAATCGAAGAGGCGTTTGCTTTCTCAAAAAGTTGGGCTGCTCAAAGACCACGAAGGCCGATCTCAAAAATCGAAGAAGAGGCGCTCGCTTTCTCAAAAGCTGGGCTCCCCAGAGACCACGAGGGCCGATCTCAGAAATCGAAGAGGCACCTACTTTTCCAGCCTTTTCCAGCCTTGTCAGCACCTGTCACACGCACACTCAGTTTTGCGGAAATTATGGGCATTCTGTCAAAGACTTCTGGGGAAGTAGAAAACACATGAATCTTACTGTTCAATCACCCACTTCTCACACGCAACAATAGCTCATGGGTACCACAGATAACTTTGCCAAAGTTCTCTGCCAAAGTTGAGCACATGAAGCTTGCAGCTCCCACTACATCGCTCTGACCAAGAAGGGTAAAAGAATAGCAAAGAAACAGCACTAACAAAGTTTAGACCCATAAATTTTGAAGGTCTAGCTACCATATTATTACCCACAAGGGTAAAGGAACAGTACCACTGCTGGATAATTGGAAAGTCCCTGTGTGTCAACCTCTGTGCTTCGTGGCAAGGTAGACTAGCAAACATGCCCAACCTTTACTCACATTCGAGAAAACACTCCCAATAAGATTGCTTGCTCCAAAATCGAAGAGGCACCGTCCTCCGAATCTCGAGAGCCAGACTCCCAACATGACTACTTTCTTAAAAAAAATCGAAGAGAGGGTAAAGGAACAGTACCATTGCTGGATAATTGGAAAGTCCCTGTGTGTCAACCTCTGTGCTTCGTGGCAAGGTAGACTAGCAAACATGCCAAACCTTTACTCACATTCGAGAAAACACTCCCAACAAGATTGCTTGCTCCAAAATCGAAGAGGCACCGCCCTCCGAATCTCGAGAGCCAGACTCCCAACATGATTACTTTCTCAAAAATCGAAGAGACACTGCTCCCCGAATCTCGGGAGCCAGACCCCCAGCATGATTGCTTTCTCAAAAATCGATGAGGCATCGTTCTCCGAATCAATCGAAGAGGCGCTCGCTTTCTCAAAAGATGGGCTGCTCAGAGACCACGAGGGCCGATCTCAGAAATCGAAAGAGGCACCTACTTTTCTAGCCTTGTCAGCATCTGTCACACGCACACTCAGCTTTGCAGAAAATTATGGGCATTCTGTCGAAGACTTCTGGTGAAGTAGAAAGCACATGAATCTTACTGTTCAATCACCCACTTCCCACACGCAACAATAGCTCATGGGTACCACAAATAACTTTGCCAAAGTTCTCTGCCAAAGTTGAGCACGTGAAGCTTGCAGCTCCCACTACATCGCTCTGACCAAGAAAGGTAAAAGAATAGCAAAGAAACAGCACTAACAAAAGTTTTAGACACATAAATTTTGAAGGTCTAGCTACCATATTATTACCCACAACTGTAAAGGAACAGTACCACTGCTGGATAATTGGAAAGTCCCTGTGTGTCAACCTCTGTGCTTCGTGGCAAGGTAGACTAGCAAACATGCCCAACCTTTACTCACATTCGAGAAAACACTCCCAATAAGATTGCTTGCTTCAAAATCGAAGAGGCACCGTCCTCCGAATCTCGAGAGCCAGACTCCCAACATGACTACTTTCTCAAAATCGAAGAGAGGGTAAAGGAACAGTACCATTGCTGGATAATTGGAAAGTCCCTGTGTGTCAACCTTTGTGCTTCGTGGCAAGGTAGACTAGCAAACATGCCCAACCTTTACTCACATTCGAGACAACACTCCCAACAAGATTGCTTGCTCCAAAATCGAAGAGGCACCGCCCTCCGAATCTCGAGAGCCAGACTCCCAACATGATTACTTCCTCAAAAATCGAAGAGACACTGCTCTCCGAATCTCGAGAGTCATACCCCCAGCATGATTGCTTTCTCAAAAATCGAAGAGGCATCGTTCTCCGAATCTCGAGAGCCAGATACCACAGACCACTTTTTCAAAGTGCTCTGACAGAGTTAAAACATGTGAAACTGGCAGCTCCCACTACCGTGCTATGACCAAGCAGGGTAAAGGAATAGCATTACTACTTGTTGTTAGGGAGACTCCTATATATGTCGACCTCCATCCCCAACGGACAGGCAGACCTGCAAAAATGCTCAACCCTTCATCATATCTGAGAGGGCACTCCCAACGAAGCCTTTCGAAATATTCAGCTTTCTTTCCCCCCGATAATACCTCTGCAAACAAGCTATACTAGAGCAAGAATATCTCATATCATCAGGGTTAAAAGCAAGAGTATCCCATATCATGCTTTTTCCCTGTCTTTTCTTTTGGCCTTGTTTTTACCTGCAAGACAAGGAGAAAGAGAGCAATCAGTCAGCACTTGGAATCAAGCTTCCAGCCAGGAACTGACTGCCTGGAACCCCTTACCTGATTACTTACCTGGCATTGCTCTCGAGTACTCATCTTCAACATCTTATGTTTCCAGGGAAGATTCCGCATCTGCTTGAGGAACAGATAGGGCAAGTGCGAAGGATACAAGGAAGCATGTGGAGACAAGCGTAACAGCACACGTGCCGATACATTCATTACTCTGTCAAAAGCAAAAGTATCCCATATCAGCAGGGTGGAACGTACTCTAGATTTGATGGACTTGTTTTGACCCTCAAATTCTTCAGTCGGCCTTATACTCTGGAGGAAACCAGAAAACCCTCCAGCTCAGTTCAAGAATAAGCCTGTGGAAAGTTACTTCTTCAAAAGCAAAAGTATCTCATATCATCTCTTCTCATTTTTCTTCTCTTTATCCTTCATGCTGCTGCAAGATGGGGAGAAGGTGAACAATCAGTCGGAGCTCTGATTGCTTACCTTGTTTGTCACCTCTTTCAGCAGACCCCCTAGCTCGGCGACTTGGGGGACTCCTACTACCTGGTTTGTATCGCGCTTGACCAAGCCTGAAACTACAAGTAAGCTTCAAGTGAAATTGATACATTACCTTGTGCATCTCCACCAGTTAAAGATACCACCCCTGGATGGAGGAAGAGTACTTCCAGAGAAGATGCCACATCTACCTATGAGACAGATAAGGCAAGTCAAGACGACACCACACTCCGATACTTAGAAGTTTCGTGATTACGAGATCATTCTCCCACAATATTTCCTAATGGCATTTGTACTAAATCATTCACTTGTACTCACTAAATGAGAGCTTGAACCTATGTACTTGTGTAAACCCTTCACAATTAATGAGAACTCTTCTATTCCGTGGACGTAGCCAATCTGGGTGAACCACGTACATCTTGTGTTTGCTTTCCTATCTCTATCCATTTATATACTTATCCACACTAATGACCGGAGCAATCTAGCGAAGCTCACAAAAAGCGATCGTTTTCGCTACCTAGGATCTATCTTGCAAGAGAACGGAGAATTAGATGGAGATCTCAACCATAGAATACGAGCTGGATGGAAAGAGTGCATCCGGCGTGTTGTGTGACCGTCGTAGGCCACTGAAGCTCAAGGGAAAATTTTATAGGACGGCAATAAGGCTAGCGATGTTGTATGGCACAGAATGTTGGGTGGTGAAACATCAACACGTACACAAAATGGGTGTGTAGCGGAGATGAGGATGCTTCGTGGGATGTGTGGGCACACGAGAAAGGATAAGATTGGGAATGAGGATATCCGAGGTAAAGTAGGAGTAACCGAAATTGTAGGAAATATGAGAGAAAATCGGCTCCGGTGATTTTGAACATGTGCAAAGAAGGCCGACTGACGCTCCGGTTCGAAGATGTGACTACGGGACAGAGGTTCAGGGCCGAAGGGGTAGAGGAAGACCTAGGACAACTTTGGAAGAGACTCTAAGAAAAGACGTAGAGTACTTGGATCTAACGGAGGACATGACACAAAACCGAGCGCAATGGCGTTCTAGGATTCATATAGCCGACCCCACTTAGTGGGAAAAGGCTTTGTTGTTGTTGTTGTTGTAAAGAGCCATAATTCTGTAACACAATATCAAATTGGATAGAGAGAAATATAGAGAGAACCTGCATCTTTGATGGACCAATGGATTTTTCTTGTCCAGAGTCTTCCAACTTAACTGTAACTTCTGCATCCCCTTTGACACTGTTCTTCCTTTTAGAGCCACCAGAGTTCAAATGATCCAATGAGGGTCGAAGCTGTACAACCGCGTGAACAGGATTCAAGTGTAACTGCAAAATGAAGAAAAAAACCAACAGTCTCACAAAGTAAGATACTATAAATATAAAACTGAATTACTCTCATAGGAGATACTAAAAAGTTACTAATTATATGTAGCATGTGAGAGTAAGTTTAATTGGAATTAATAAATATATATTCTCAAACTACCAATAAAAAAGAGAGAACAGAAAGACAACTTTGTTTGCACTTGTCTAGACTCTGAACATTTCATTTCTGAGCAGAATTAAAGTTCTCATTTTCCATGTGTGAGAGAGGGCAGCCATGTCAGAGTCATATAATGGATTAGAAAAACAAATTTGATCATACATCAATAAAAAACCAAATGCATAATTTGCATCTATCAAGCAAGCCACATATTCATGATTTCACAACCACTCTTGTTAACGAACTGCCTTGGTGACACAATGACATTGTGTTAGATTGTGCTCTTAGATGTTCAATCCAATCCCAAACAACAAAACTCATTCTTTGTGACCAACCACATTTGGAACAGAGAGATAACATACGGAGGAGCAGCACTTAGCATCTAAAATTTACACAGAATCCTTTGCAAGAAGAAGCTATATGGAAGCTTGGAATTGAACTTTGTTTGGGTCTGAAGGCCGTTCAGTAATTATTTAAACCTAGCCAGCTTTCAATAAATTAACACCACTCAGAGTAAACACCAAAACACTTCCAAGGTACGTATTTCAACACTACTTGATCAAAAATAAATAACACCCTATTTGCTTTGCAAGTTCAATGACTGCACTCTCTTAAAAAAAAAATTTGGAAGTGACCAGAAACTCAACTGCCCCACAAACTCAGGAACCCTCCATAACGTTTTACTTACTAAAACTTTACTTTGAGGGTAACAAGGGATGTGGTCTCGTCAAATGATCTTAATGACAAACAACCTTCATTAGAAGTGCTTGAGATCAGAAATTGGCTAAAAACTAAACCGTTTACAAACCTACAGTTGTTAATGTAAATCCAGCAACATTCAAGATGCAACATAAAACCCATGGATGTTAAAGTTGATACCTTATTGCCCATCAAAACACCAACAGCATAGCCACTTGTGCCAGGCGGCTTCCATGTTGTAGACAAAGTCTGAAAATAAACACAACACAAATCCCCAACCCGCTTTACATTACATAACAGTGTAGGCAACAATGTCACAACATCCAAAACATACTCAAGCTATTGCTACAATGTTTATGCACAAAATTGACCTGCTTTGTCATTTTCAATCTACTAGCGCAATCTTCATCGAAATTCTTCGGGTCCCGATCGAGAGACAAATCAATCTCCATTTCTGAAGTGGCGGGGTTCAGCCTCACCTCCTCGCACCGGCTCTCCAACTCGTAAGGCCGCCACCACGGCCTCAGAGGATATTGCAATACATACAACTAATAACGAAAAAGATCAAAATTTTAGGCAAATCCTTTCCAAAAAAACAAGAAATTAGAGCAACAGAGAGAAGAATGACAGACCTTAGAGTTGTCATCGATTTTCGGATTGAAGAAGACGTCGATTTCCCGCACGACCTCGTCTTCCAGTTCGTCTTCTTCCATAGGATCATCCTCTTTCGATACGTCGCCGTTTTCGGTTTTCAAACCGCCATTTGAGTCTTCGGCCTTCGGCGCGCTTCCTTCTTCGTCTTTCTTCTTCACAATCCGGGCGTCCAGTTCTTCTCGTGAAGGTTTGAGCTCTGGCTCGGACTTCGGGACCGGTTCTTGTTTGGCGACGGGTTCGGATTTGGGTTTAGGCTTGGCCTTGGAGGACCGGGGCACAAACCGGTTGGGCCGGGAAGGGGCCTGGCTGGTCGCATCGAGGTCTTCGAGGTTCATCGTCGGCTACTCTGTGGTTTCTGTTTGTTCCGGTGAGAGGTGGTGGAGAACGGAGCTGTGAGAGTGGGGGCTTTCGTGCGCGGTTCTTTTTAGGGGTTTTCAGGGGTGAAGTTTGCGTGGGGTTTTTATAAGTTTCGGACTCTTTAAATTCAATAATTACATTTTTGGTCCACGTAATTTAAATTGTTTGTCACTTTGGTCCGTGTTATTTTAAGGGGTCTTTTAATTACATTTATTTGAAAATATAAGTTTGTATAAAAAGATACTAGATGAGGTGGTATAAAAAGATGGTAGCAGAGGGAAGTTGAAATGCCTCTATAATTTGGTTTACGGAAGGATGGACTGTTGTGATGAAGCCATCAGCTAGTCCCCTTTTTAAAAATTAAAAATTAAAAAGATGCTAAAGGCACACACACTGTATGTAAATATGAAAGATTTAAAATGATAAATATATGTTATTTAGTATTATGGTCTAGGGGCAATCTAAAGTCTTATGTCAAATTTTGTACCTTTCCAACCGGGTCAAATATTATTTTATTATTTAAATAGTTGTAATTATTTATAAAAAAAAAAAGTTGAAACAAATTTTTTTATTGGTTGAAATGTTAGACCATCTTCAACCCTTGGCCTAAAACCTTACATTTTTAGCCCATAAAATTTAGAGTATGTTTGGTACTCTACTTGAATCCAACTTTTTAAACTCAAAAATAATTTTCAAGTTTTAGGCCTTGAAAACTTGGGTGGGAATCGATTGGGGGGGGGGGGGGGAATAGAAGGGAAATTATAGGTTTTAGGCCATGAGTTGGAGTTGGCCTTTAGCGGAATAAGAGGCCCACCATTAAAATGAATTAAAAATAAATTTGACATTGATGTTAAATTTGACTCTAAATCACAAAGACTTCAAATCCAGTCAGCAAATAGCACTTTGGTTGGAGAGGCTTTTGATGTCAAATATGGACAGTGACATTCCACCTGAGATTTTGACATCTTCTTTGAAGATGCTCTAATATTATTTTCTTTAGTTTTTGGTTGATAAAGAATATTCTCTTAATAGGTATTACCGATTATACGCATTGTTGGGAATAATTGAATTCAACCGATTACGCAGAATTGATTCTAATCCATTTTTTGTTACGTTTCCTTTCTTAAGATCAAAATTATTGCCAAATATCAAGGAATGGCGGGAAGCGAAAATCAAATCCCCTTCATGGTGCCTATTCTCGCTAAACAAACGCGGCACAAGTGGAAGAATGATCAAATCCCCTTCCTAGTTGTGGAGCTATTGTTGGCAATCCGAGAAGACCATTCTGCACTTTTCTAAATTTATATTGATCGTTGTGTTTTATACAATTACCTTTCAAAGTGTCAACGACAAGTAATTTCTCTCCTTTGTGAGAGTCCTCTCGCCGGAGTGAGAGTATCTCTCTCTGGCGTGAGAGGCCCTTTTCACCTCACGAATAGCCAGCCCCCACCAATCACTAGCTGCTGTACCTATTTTGTGCGTCTGATCTTTAGATGTATTGGCTCCGCTCCCTAGCGCTGCTTCGTCTGCCAGTTTGAGAGTCGATCGGGATAGTACTCCTCTTATATTTTCCTCCTCGTTCTTTTAGTTTTAGCCTCCTTTTCAAACCTTAATCCCAAAATGGAAGCCCCTTTTCCTCATCCCCTTACGTTTCCGTCCACATCACTTTCCCTCCACCCCAACAAAAAAACTAGTAGTGTTTTGGACCCGATTGGGGATCTGGATTGCTTTCCCACTACGGCACTACCCACTTCTCTACTGGCATGCCGGAATATATGGGCGAAGTGTTCTACGACTTTCGTCGTGGTAAGAGTGTTTTACTTATCCTCTTGGTCCTCTCCACCCCTTTGTTATTGTACTGTTTTGATACTCTTCTTGCAAGTGTGGTAGCTGTTCGTATGAAACTAGATGGTTCGGTCGGTTGCGGCACTTTAAGAATATGATTTTTGCTTCTGGTGTGCTCGTTTTTGTGGCGTTATTTTGCTTGTGCTTGGCTTTTTGCGTGTCCACCTTCGATTTGGTTCCTACACGGCGGCTACTTTGGTGGTTGCTAGCGAGAGACATCCAATGGCGTGATGTGTCTTTTGAATGGGAATTAGGGTTTTTTAGGTTTTGTTTAGCGTTTGAGCCTCTCTCTAAGTGATCTAGGCTGCTGCTTTTGTTGTTATTGTGACCTATGTTTTTCTTAAGCATTGGGTTTGTAATATTTAAATGGGCTAATATTTAAAGTTTGTGGATTTTGGCTATGTATATACTCTCTCTTTGAAAGTATGTGATCAGTATTCCTCAAACCTATTTATTATACCATTTTCTCTAAAAACGTTTTCAATTATTTTAAAAGCACATCCAAATAAGCCTGTAAATGATCTTTACCAAAAAAAAAATTTCAACAACTCCTAAATAATATTTGGCCTAATTACATATGTAATTTCATTAATTTATTTGTTATAGGAAAAACATGGACATTGTCGCACCTAATTAAACCTCACCTATGAAAAAATCGATCACACTTTTTTTTTTTTTTTGAGTTGAGTGATATCATTAGTAATTAGATGTTAGATTAGCCACTGATGGGATTCAAACTTACACCGTCATGTAAGGGTGTTACTCCTCTCCATCACTATGGTAGAGGGCCACCTCCCACTCTTCTTATTATAACCTAATGCTTCTCTCTGTTTGATAATTTTAGGGCGGTTTATTGAAAGACTAAAAGCGCTTTTAAGTGAGGTTAACAAAAGGAGTTAGAAGTATTTACGAGTTATAAAAGTATTTTCTAAATAATTAGTTTAAGGAAGCTTTTTTTAAGTGTTGAAAATGTATTCAGCCCTTGCATGACGGTGTGAGTTCGAACTCTGTCGGTGGCTAATCTAACAAAATCTATTGTTTGACAAAAAAAAAAATATTTTTAGGAAGCTCTTTTTAAGTACTTTTTTTTTATTAAGGACTGGCTTAAATTTTAAGTAACTAATAAAAACACTTTCAACATAAGCGCTTATAAACATAAATGTTTTGTGAATAAACAATCCCAAAAAAACATTTCATATTTGCTTTCACAAAATTTGTATGGTAAAAGAAATATAAAGACCAACTTTTGGTTAGAATACCCAAAAGCCCCAATAACAGGATTTGGATCCTCTCCGAGGCAACTGGTCGGGATCCTCCTGACCAATATTCGTGAACCGTTGGATTTTTATCCAACAGCTACAAACAGGGGGACTCTCTAAAAGTTATAATAATTGTAGCCGTTGGATAAAAATCCAACGGTCCACGAACACTGGTCAGGAGGATCCTGATCAGTTGCCTCAGAGATGATCCAAATCCCCAATAACACGAGTATGTTTTAGTGAAAGGTGCAGTGCATGGATAATTGTAACATCTCACATCGCCCAGGGGAGTGGATCATGTAAGCCTTATATGTATATTCTTATATCTACTAAGTACGAAGTCTTTTAGGAGCTCATTGGCTTCGGAGTTCATCGGAACTCCGAAGTTAAGCGAGTTCGGACGAGAGCAATCCCATGATGGGTGACCCACTGGGGAAGTTCTCGTGTGAGTTCCCAGAAACAAAACCGTGAGGGTGTGGTCATGGCTCAAAGCGGACAATATCGTGTTACGGTGAAGTCGAGCCCAGGATGTGGTGGGGGCCCGGGCAGGGATGTGACAACAAAGCTTGACAAATATGTAAAATAGGTATTTTAGCCAAAATTATTCATGAGGTTGTCAATAATGCTTCACTTTGGTCATCGATATTTAAAATTGATAAAAATTGTCCCTAAAATTGTCCACCGTAAATCATTTTGGTTATGCCGTAAATTTTTTTTGTTAAATTGAAGGAACCACAATTTCAAGGGGAGGGGTTCATTTGATAAAAATACCCTCAATTTAACGAAAATTTCTCACAAAGGGGGCCAAAATGATTGACGGTGGACAATCTTAATGATCACTTATATCGATTTTACATATTAGAAACCAAAATGAGGAGTTATGTTAATCTTAGAGACTATTTTGGATAACAAGCCTATAAAATATTAAGTCGATAAAAACATATATTTGCAATCTAAGGAGGAGGTGGTCTTAAACCGAAATCTTGTTTTATGTTGAGACGAGTGAATTGTATGACATGTTCGTGTGTAGATACCAAAACAAATATTTACATAATTAAAAGCTTAGATTAAGAATATGAAAATATAACATATCAAATTGTCTGACAATAAATTATCGTCTAATATATGCGCATATTACTCAACGCACTTTGTACGGCTGTACATTTCTTCTTCTCAATACTCAGTAGATTCCTATGCATGTTACTCAACGCACTTTTTTATGACGAACAGTAAGTAAATGCTTGAACTCTCATAAATTAGATTTTGGCATACATAATACATGAACTCTCAATGATGATCTTGATCTACGAATGTCCTGCATCATCCAAGCATAAGAATGTAACATGTAAATTGTAATTCTCTATTAGTGTGAAACAGCAAATAATTGTCGACTTGAGTTGAGCTGAGTTGAGGGAGCCACGTATGTTCATACGTATATATTTTATTTGAATAGTAGATTTTAGGGTTTGGTTTTACTACTGTTCAATCTATACATTATTGGCACAAACAGTATATTGCCATAGATATTTTGTGTCTCTTGAGAGATACTCGTCATTTAATATCATTATCTAGTGGTACTCCTCTTTATTAAGTGAGAGATTTTACATTTGAATATTTTTTGTAAGTGAAAGATTTTACGTTTGAATATTGTGAATGGTAAATTCAATATCGATTTTTTCTTGGATATAATAACATAGGTAGAAGTATTGACATTGTTTTCATATTTATGCAGAGGTCTATTTTTGTTTTTCCTTTTCTTAGGGATGCAACATCATTACTCTTTTTCTAGGGTTTCTTCTTTTTTCTTGGTTAATTGTTTTGTTTGGTTGGGGGTGTGGGATTGAAAATGCGGGATTCGGATCTCATTCGGATCCAAATTGTGCAGATCCTAGAGATTCTTACATCTTAGTCACTCATCGTGCAACATGCGATAAAAAATCATTTGATTTTTTTGTTTAAAATTAAACACAAATAGTATCTGA